GTTTGTGAAGAGTATGTATTCGATGGATGGCTATTAATGGACCTCAGGCTGCCAAGTAATACATCACAAAGGGACGAGGTTGATACGAACAAGTTCAAAGTGACTAAATGAAGAGCATGCGGGCTTCAAATACTGAACATGTGTTCAGTATGTGGTGAAACTCCGCAAAACAATGGGCTTCAATGGCGAAAGAGGCAGTCAATTCGTTTGGGAGTTCTCAAATTTGCGGTGGCTATATTCCACGCTGCGTGTGGGACGTAGTGGCGGACGAAAAGGGGGGCAAGAACTTTAGTGTGCTTATTAAATCATTGGGTGGAATTAGGTGCAGAGGCTACACCTGCTTTTGTTGTTTTTCTACCAAAGTTTCAGATGGTTGCAACATGAAGATATCATTAGACTATGAAGAGACCAGACTATGATGAAAACTCACCGAGTAATCTGGAAATCTGAACACTAAACGATCGAAGGGTTTAGCTTGGATCCTCGAATACCCACATCATCAAGATAACCTTCAACGATGACAACAGAACACAAATGAGGAATATACGTTGCCACTCCTAAACATTCCACTTCTTTTCGAAGCAATGAACGCCATTCTCTCATTTCCAGATTTTCGGCGCTAGCGTTCAGAGTGCCAATATAATCTTCAAGGGTAGAAGTTCTTTCCCGAGGCACGTAGCACATGCAGTGTGTTTGCAATTCTTTTTGACACCTCAAGACAATTCGTTGCTACTGCATTAGCGGCCACGCAGCGCTGCGCATCAGCCATGGAGATCAGCTTGAGCATACTCTCATTAATGTCTACCTCCGAGAAGTCTTCAGAACCATTCGCTTTCTATACAGATCTCACATGAGTTACCCACCAGCTCACTAATAGAAGATCCTACAGATTTCAATATCATCTGCAAACAATTCGGGACACTGTTTTGTAGGCACAGTATAGGGACGACAGAGAGCCTAACTTATGCTCCTATGTGTTTAGCTTCTCAACGATTTTCCATTATCCCTTTCATATCATATGGAAGACTTCATTGTATTCCTTATCTTGTTGTCTTATATGGTTTAGTTCACAGTGATCAAGTGGTTTTCACCGGATGACGTCTGGAGCATAATTTCTCTCACAGCCGCATTGAAGCGATCACAATTCTTAGTTTTCACAAATTTATTGATTTTTCTGATTTGGTTGTACAAGTTGTAGAACCTCGTACTTACCTGAGATGCGTTTGGTCATTCCCCTTGCACATCTCGGTCACGCATTAAGAGGACAAAGATTCGGTTATCAACCTGTTCATCAATCTTAAGCACCACAACTCTGTCCCACCGCAACTCACGGTTTTGCTATTGCACTCGTGAAGGTCGACAAGACTTCCTGCATATTATTCATGCATCGCGACTGACAGTTCGGAATCAGCAAGCCCCCACTGCTTCGTTGGACACGATGTCCCTGATCGGCTGGCCTGATATACGAATGTAACCCAGCGGCCGTTTCGAGGTATCTGGTAATTCAAACTACTTTTCTAATCACATCAACACATTCCTTAAGATGACAAATTTTGACGCCGAAGTGCTTTGGCGGTTGGAATGACGCCCTTATCCTTGCCTCCTTAAAAATTCTGCGCAAGCTTCTTGAATTATATTCCGGATATGGTAGCATTGAGGCTTCTAATCCAAGAAAAAAGCCCACTGAGTCATGGAGAAGAGATAATTCAGCGAAGAAAATTTTCTTTTTCGCCGATTTCATTTTCTAAGGCTGTACAGTCATATTTATATATCATAAGCATATAACAGTCTATTATAAAACAGTAGGGTATCATCACATCATTAAGCCAGTGCTAGGAAACCGGAATCAAGAATGCGACGTAGTTGAGTAATAAACCAAGGCAGCAGAAATATCGAGGAAGGCGAGGAGTTTGACTAGGTGAAAATTGTTGGGAGATGAGAAACGCAAGTATTGAGTGTCCACTTGATGGATGGACGTAAAGAAGGTGAAGAATGAGACAAGGGTCACAGTGAAGGTGATAATGATAAACTAATTAATTGTAATGAAATCGAAAAATGAAAGATGAGAGATTGAACATACTTCTACTGCGTGCAGAGATCAGGCCTGAAATGATGAATTGCCAGTGCCTCCGCTGTGAACAACTGTCGAAGGCGTACTCCTTTTGAACTATTCCATCTGCAACGATAAATGACACTGAAGGAAGATTCTGGTCTACTTTATGTCCAGAGTTGACCAAATGTTCAAGAATTGAACTGTTAATTGATTTACATTCTCCCCTCGACAACCATGCAGGTAGGATAGTGCTCCGAGATACGTTTGGAAAGCCTGTGCTTTGTGCGGCCTATATAACTAGCTCCAGAGGGGCGAGTAAACTTGTAGACACTCATCGAGGTGGCCCAAAGTGGCAACTTGTCCTTAACGCACTCCAGAATGGGTTGTTGACTAGAGAGGCTGATCTGCAGTTTTGCGGAGAAGAATGTCTTCTTCAGTGACCTGGACAGCCGATTTTTCAGGACCTGTGCTGCCGTATCGCCTTTGAAAACAACGTTCATAAACAAGGTCTTCTTTGGAACTGTGAGTACTCGCTCCGTATTCTGATTTACTCTCAAGTTCTCATGGATAAATGTAGATGGATATCCATTTTGCATGAGGATCTTCCGTAGTTTATCTAATTTTTCGTCGATAGTATCACTTGTGCAGATTCTTTCTATTCTTGAAGATAAAGAATGGATTGGATTCCTCTTTCTGCTGAGAGGCATGCATCTGTGGAAGTTCAGATATTGTCCGTTCTAAGTAGGTTTCCTATAAATTGATCGCTAAAGAGAACCACCTCGTCTCTGCTTCGATAAAACATCGAGAAAGTGGAATTCTGATGTGAAGTTGAACGATATTTCTCGACATTTCCACCGTCTTAGTTTATTACGCAACTACGTCGCATTCTTGATTCCGGTTTCCTAGCACTGGCTTAATGATGTGATTATACCCTGTCGTTTTATAATGGACTGTCACATGTTTATGATATATATAAATATGATTGTACAGCTTTAGAAAATGAAATCGGCGAAAAAGAAAATTTTCTTCGCTGAATTATCGCTTCTAATCCAGTTCTAGTCTTGTTGGGACGTGGTAAGTAACGCTGATAAGGTGGGTTATATGAGAAACTGGTCTGATATGAAGCTACACACTACTGCAGTTTTACTATAATTCCAAACTTTTATCTAACGAAAGCTCTGAGCTCGGGAGGAAAGTGGGACGTGTGCAAAATCAACAGAGACGTAACCGGAAGAAGGAGTCATGATACCGGCATTTGGGTTCTCTGTTTTGGATAGCTTTTGCTTCTTTGTCACAATGGGTTTGGTTGCACCAAGGTGGCCAATTTTAAAACTGCCTCCATCTCCAACAGAAAACTAACTTCCTCCTAGTAGTTTCACAAGAACTGTGGATGACGTCATACCTTTACATGACAAGTAAGCCAATTCGAAACAAGAGGGCCACATTTAACCATCACAAGTTGACTGCAAACTTTATGGACCACCGTTCTTACCATTTTAGCGCGCTCAGTCAAATCATGGAAATGTTGGAGATCTGTTTTACCGGCTAAGTAATGGTGCTCACAGATACAGCTTACCTGTAAAAAGAGAATTGTTGAATTTGAGTTTCATTGGCAGTAATAAGAAGGCCCGCCACTGCTTGGACACCAGCCCTATCAAGTCGAACTTATGGAGGAATGTCAGGCATTCACTGCAACCTTCTCCGAGTACATGGTTGGAGATTAGCCACAATGCAACTGTTTCAGTTAAGTGCATATTTCAGCCACTCCTACTGCATGTTTACCAAGGGGCAAGGCTGAAAGACATTCCCTGCTTCTGGCCCCTTCTGTCAGAGGGCATTATTCGTGATTGAAACTACGAATCATTACTAAGCTGATCCGTATGTTTTTTTCTGAAAAACAATAAGCTCATGGGGAACTCCCAGCCACATACTACTTCACACTTAACTGTTCTAAACCGAAGTTGTATCGAGGTCCTGGATATAACTGTAGACAAAAGTGGGCTTTGGAGATGTTTTCCAGCGAGCGACGCTGTCTCAAAATGTGATAGATCCAGCAAGGCAAATAAAGTAGAATTAAAAGGACAATATCTTGAATAAGTACTAAAATCCGCGAAGCAGCTTCTCATGCCACTACAGGTTTTGGGACTGGAATTGACTAAGTATTCCTGGCCTTAAAGTTTGTGCCAGTGGCGAACCAAGAAAAACAAATGTATCATGCAATCCTTTCCTAGGTTTGAGTATTTCCTGCCACTAATTAATTAATTGATCCTCTGGATGCGAGTAACAGCTGACCTCGGAATAGCGTTAGGAAAAGGTACGAGATAGTCAAACTAGCCATCAGTTTCCTCAAATGAAAGTCGTAATCGTAAGGAAACAGTTAAATTAAATTGTGGTTCAAGTTCTTCAAGCTCAAAAAGGTAGGAAGCCATTTTCTTACATGGGACGGTCTGCATTCCAGCTTCCTTATCTGATATACAGAGTTGAATTTCAGACATTGGCAGTATTTAATGTGTCGAATGGCCTGGTGAGACTTATTGTATAAGAATGGATTCGGTGTATGATATCATTTTCAGATTTCGCGCTTGAGTTAGGATTTAAAACACGCTGTAATGGATAGTAACAATGCCTCAGTTAGATTTTTATAGAAACAAATTTCAAGTTTCTAATCTCTATTAACCTCTATTTTTTGATTTGACATGTAAATTACGCCATAAAGACTATTGCTTCTAAGTGACTCATTATGAATGGCGGCAGCTCCTCAGTTTGGTTTGCATAATAACGGCACTTGTATATTTCCCGTTTCTCTCGCCATTAGTCTTATTTCTTCACCAGGAAAGAGCAGAAAAGTAAATTTACTGGTCCTGCTTTGTCTCACTTGGTGTGTATGTTATCATTTCTGCCTTTGACCTTCTTGTTTAGTGTTAAATCTACCAAATGAATACAGCTTATGGCAGGATTAGGACAGTAAGAGTTCTACTATATGAGTAATGTCGGTTTTAACCAAATCTAGGCGTTTTACTTCTGCTGACCACTCTGTTACTTGGAACACTCAAACTCAGTATGCAGCTTATTTCCTGTTATATGATTCATTTAGATACACTATGGGAAGGGCTATGATGCATGATTACAATAAGCCTGTCACAACATATGGCAGTAATTTTACGAAAAGGGTAAGCTCTCATAGTTGTTTTCTTTGAAATGAGTATTCCTAGAGCGTAATCAGACTTGTGTGACCTTTTTTCTCCTCGAATACCGACTTATTTCATTAGGTTGGCTTCCGTGTTGAGAAAGACGTATCTCATTGTTCATTTATATTAAAGTGAAGCTGCAGTCAGCTGGGTGTATTACTAGTGATAGTCTTAGTCTGGTTTGTTTCCCTATTGTAATGTATCTTATGTCTACTCAACGACAGACCGGAGACAAACTTTTCATTTCTCTTCGCCATCTCCTTTATCAAAGTTTGTGTGGATGTATGAACACTTTTTGAATTTCATTACCTGCTTTTGTCATGATTAGAGGTTTCATGAACGGTTGTGATACTTCAAAATATCCTACTATGCCAAGAACGCATGGTCGTTCTTGCCTGACAAGGTGTAACATTAAGTCGAACACTGATGCCATCGAGTTTTTTTGCGGAGGATATGTTCACATGTTATACTAGTAGTCAATATGTCTTAGGCAAGCATCACTCGCAATCATTTATCATAGGCTTACTTTTTATTATTTTTAACCTGTCTCAGGCAGCTTTTCAGTGTTAGAAATAAGTTTGTTTGAGACACTCGACTTTTAAATTAGTGGTGTACCGGTCCGAAATTCCTACCTGCAAACAACAGAGCAGCCAGGTAATATCTGTCGTAATGGGTGTAATTTATACTCCTGTATGGAAACTCTTGTATAGTTGCTTTATGTATGCAAGGAAGCCGATAACATAGCAGCCAGTGGCATTAGCTAATTTCCACATCTAGATTCGATTAGCGGCTTGCCCGTGCTAGCAAATACAGCACCACAATAAGGTAAGAGGGCTGACATCTTTCAACATTTGGATCCCATGACTTAACTCGGATGCAAAACAACGTGGATATCTGCTTACTTGTGGTCATTCTAACCGAAATGTTGCCACCTATTCACCCCGCTAACTTTACCTAGTCTAGAGGGAAAGTTGCCAAGTTTTTTCGTTAGCTTTGAAGATAAGCGGTTTCCACTTCGGATGTATTCTGGTGCACAGCTCAGATGACGTTAGGGATAAGCCTATTAAAGGACACCTATCTTACCGTAAGTTGTAAGACGTACTCATAACAATTCAAAAAACATATTAAGGGTTGTCTTACTATTCTTACTATCCAATCAGTGCACCTTAGGTGCGAACCCTACCTTACCTATAGAAGTTTGGGTATGTAGGTAGCATTGCTAGCCTTAGTAATAAGTGTAGTCAGTTTCCTAGTGCACGGAGTTGCTTAGTTGTATCGTTTTCGTTATTTTTATAAGTGATTTGATCAGTTAGAAGTGCATCTATTTAACACTTGATGACGATGATCCTTTTTTGTTACGGTAACTGTACATACTAACAGAAACTTTACACTTTTTTCTTTCACCGCTAAGAGTTCTTTCTTTTTATTCTTACTTCAACAATCATGTTATACGGAAATGACTAAGCCTGCCTAGTTCGTATTCGAGTAACTTCATTTAACACAGGATCATGTAATATATGACTTACTTTTTTTCCTGATAATGTCTAACTCCAACTCTTCTTTCACGGTGGTGCCATTGCACAGCGATACTCTAAAGGCATAGCGTGTTTAATCCCGTTAATGGTCTGTTTTCAAAACTTCAGAGAGAACACACTAACCGATAGAAGTTCAATTTCAGAAGCATAATTGTTGGTAGGTCTTAGACGTTTAGATACAGAATCGGCGTGGAAAAGTTGGTTGTTTGTGAAATTGTCTCAGCACGGTGATCAGTAACCCATTCCTAGAGTGAGTGACCGTAACGGTCATAAGAATGCAGTAAATTGTAGTTCACTCTTCTTCCCTAAGTGGTTTTATGCTTGCCCAACCGCCACACAGTAACACCAAGTCCTGTGTTGTTTTTGTTTGTTTCTGCTTGCTCACTACTACTCAACCTAGAACGGTACTAAATAACCCCTCCAATTTCGACCGAAGTTTGACTAGCAGTAGTGGAATATCTAGCGTCTAGCGATTGTCAAGGATGAAAGTTCAGCACTGATCGTTAGATTCACTCAGTTTTTATTTGTACTGAAAAGGTGTATGGAAAAGGCTAAAAATTCTCTTCTGTTCGTGTCAGAAATGTCAACCTGGCTAATACAGTAATTATTATATGCTGTAGCTACTGACACCCCATCATTTACCCCTTATCGATGGCAGTGTTTTACTTCCTTAGTTAATAGAACTTGTCGTTTTTGTTATTTATAGAAGTGGTGGGTAATCGTATTTCGCTATACAAGTCTCTGGGTTCAAACACTTTTGGTCGCTGTGAGCAGTCAGATAAGATCTTTGCGTTCCTAGGTAAAATATATTACTAGTAAAATGCCCTAACAGTATATGGTCTTACACACCTTATAAACAAAGTATGAGGGTATGCAAGAGGCCTTTATGTATAGGCTTATGGAAACGTCCACACAAAAGCAGTCAAAATCTGGAGAACAAAGAAGGGTAAATTTCTTGGATGACCTTTGAACTGAGGGTGGTTGCACTAAAAAGCCAATAAAGCAGCTGACTGGATCCACTTTGATCGATAAAGCAATATCAGCATCTATCTGCGATAATGGGTTAGTAAGGAAATGCGTTATCTTGTAAGCCTAATCACTAGTTGGAGGGGCCGTGTGTTTTTATTCACCACTATGAAAACTTGTGTTTTGTAGGGTCATTTGGTAAGCGATGATGATGGTAAATGTGAAGCACTACGTAAATGTGGCAGATTGAACGACAATTTTATGATCTTAAGCATAGGTAATAGCTTTCTTCGGTACTTAATGATCTAGGAGTGCATAGATGGATTTTGTTTTTACTATCAAGTCAAGTAATGTAATCCTATTTCTCTCTTGTGAGACACTAGTACCGAAAATTCAAGAAATGTGTCATCGAATCTCCTTGACTAACACTAATATGAAATCCTTTTGAACCCACACATGAAAAGTTTACCTGTGATACCACACCGGTTCATAGCTTAGTGCACACAACTGTATGGTTTTCGAGTTGCGCTCATTAATTCAGGAGCAGCTTTCTGGTCATCCAGCGGTTACCAAGTTTCTAAACTTCTTGGCTGATATGTTTAGTCTGGAAAGTTCGCTAAATAATAACTAACAGGGATATTGTCCCTAAGGCTAGTCACTTATCTATCAAAAGATGAACTGTAACCTAAAAGTGCTAAAAAGCGGAACTCAGAAACTGCATACAAGTTCGTACATCAAACACTGAGTCACACCAACTGTTAGCTTGTGATTCGACCTGATTTCAGAAACCTTGGTTTACTGATCATTCTCATCCATAATTTGCTGGTTAGGAGGAAACTTTCTGGGTTGGAAAAAGGTTGAAGGTGAACAGATTAAAACACGGCACCAGTCTATAAAGTCTCTGATTATTATTGCGAGTCATGTAAGGAAGTTTAGACTTTGAGGTTAAGGTCCGCATAACCACCGAATTCGATAGTTAGCGACTCGGAGCGGTATGGCTGAGAATCGATCACAGTGGCGGGGATTTATTTTAATGTTCATGTCACATTTCTTTACATTTACTAACAAAGTTGTCACCAAACTTCATTGTAGCATGCAAATAAGTGGATATAAGAGCGGGATTATGGTAGGTGGCTCATTACCTACTGCAAAAATGTGCATGCACTTGTATACATTTCGATTAGTGACAACATTATATAAGGGTATATAAACAGATGAACATTAGTGATAATACTCGAGGGAAAAAATCACAATGTATACCTCATTGGCACTATGACTGATTGTGAGCCATATCATCAGGATTCTCTAACCACCAATTTCTATCGTCTCGGCGACCTCAGCCAGAGAGCCTACATCATTCTGAACGGCTTATACCAACAGTCAGATGCTTCATAAACTGATGCTACGTCTTGGTTTGACTACCCTTAATCGTTTTCCAACCGTTTCTATTTTGGCTTCTTCGCACATTAAGGTGAACTTTCCCTCGGGATGCACTACACGTTCAAACCACTTCAGTTACTACACGTTTTCGACTTAACCAACCGACTTCCTTTCCTTACCTAGTACCCTACCAACTAACTTTCTACCGCTTTTTATTAAATCATATTTGTTTCTCTATCTTCCATCTCGTTTTCTTGTATCATTGTATGCCGTGTAACAATTTACTGTTAAACAGTATTGGCCAGATCACATGGTGATACTGATTCACTGACGAAAAACGGGTTTAAGCTAATAGTTTCTCCAGTCATTAGATGCCTAATTGATGTTTCGAAATAGAAAACTCGTGAAACTCAGGTTTTTGATGTAGTCATAGGTGTGTCGAATATATCCCCCCTCCTTGCCGACTTGGAACATAGGCAGACTTATCGGGGCCGATGCTAGCTGTATTTTTTGAACTTAAGGCAAAATTCAGCCCTACCCATCGAAAGATCTTATCACAGTGTTTCCCACCTAACTACTGGGCCATTACAGTATGCTGTTGAGTACTACATTCAAACCTGTCGGTGTGTTAGAGCTTATGGTGAGGTGTCAGGTGAGTTGTGTATGTCAAATGGTGTCCATCAGTGATTTACACTCTCTCCATTCTTATTTTCTGTCATGGATATTTTAATGAAGGTCTGCCTCTCCTCATCTTACTTTACAGAGATTGACCTTGTTACATGAGACTCCTTAGTTGAACTAAAGTAAGCATATGCCAGTCTTGTTAAGTAAAGATAATGAGATGAAGTTTTTACATCTTAAGTGGCAATTCGGAAATGTTTGGGGTGGGTTTCTCACTGCCTACGTGTAATTTTTTAATCGAAGACTGGTCCTGTTTCATACCTCATCTGATAGTAGAGTAAGGTGATTGAGCATGTTAACTGATGTATTTACGTGGGAAGTTGAATCAGCCTTGGAGGGATGGCGAACGATGAAATCTCGACATGGATACTAACAGTTTGACTGACTTTCTCTTTCTGTAGCGCACAGTTTACGATAAACCGTTGAGAACTGAGTGTACTGCGCTACGGTTCGCTCTGTTTTAATGCATGGCTGTAAAACATGAACACTAAAGGTGGAAATAAAAATGCTTTAGGTGTTCGATCACCGTTACCTTCTCAGCATAAGCAGTTTCGCAGAACCTTGATGTCAGTAATACAAAAGTCAGGCATAAAGTTAGGTAGGAGAGGTATCAGTTGATTAGGCCTCAACTCACGTTATACAAACCTAGTCACCACCTACCTCATCGCGCAATTTCATGTGAGATTGGTTTGATTTGCTTGTTGCCCTAAGGTGGAAGAGGATTTCAAATGCAACTTATTACTGTGACAACCAGTTAATTCGTCTTTTGTTGACATTCACTTTCCGACTACTCATTATCTATTCATATGCTCAGTAGAACATTGAGGTGAAATTTTGAATCCTTAAAGAAGTTGAGAAGGGTGTAAGTAATGTGAAATCTATGAGGGTGGCAGTCCTCGATGGGTTAGTACTAGAGAAATTTATGGACGATGACCGAGACTTATTGGTGAGTCACTGAAATGTTGGCTAGCGTATGAGAATCAGATATGACTTGTCTTAATCGTTGATTATCCCAATCTTCAAGAAAGGAAAAAAATATGGTTATGATAACCACATAGTCTGACGAACGCAGTGTTTAGGATTTTAGGTTCGATAATCATTAGACTTACAGGTGAAGCTTGGGAACGGCAAACTTGAAATAAAACAGCTAGGTTTCAGACTTATCTGTAGCCGTACCGATCAAATCTCCATCCTTTGTCAGGTCTTGGAACGGATGCTCACTAGTTGACTGGCTTTCTTGATGCGGAATAAGTGACTGAAAAAATACTGCATTGGCCCAGGTGATTACACTTCAAAAAAACAAATAGAATATAACTGACATGGCGAAATAAGAACGGATTAAAGAAATGATGTGAAAAGTTTACGTATAATTGAGCAGTTAATTAACTCTTCTAGAACCAGAGTAGCTGAAAGTTGGATGTACCTGTACAACCGACTTCGTAGTTTGACCGTTTTGCCTGGCGTCTGAAATCACTACTTTCGAAACTTCTATTTGCAAGTTTACTTTTTTTCACAACTTTATCCAAAAATCAGTGAGTTGAGATAAGAAACTCAAACCTGTGTGATAATCATATTTTAAATGATCAGCTTTTAGTAATAACATTATTACCAACAGAGATTTTCAAATTAGATGTACCTATTCTTGAATTTTTTCTAATTATCACTTCGTCGTTTTGTATTTTGTGCATGCAATAAATATTCATACAGTGGTACAGATCTTTCAGTGTGTCTGTTAGTCGGCTTATGGCTTTTATCATATAACCTGACAGTTTTGAGTCGTGTAGCAATCTCCTAAGCACACATACATGGCTTAACCCTGTTCTTGGTGAATTAATTTAATTTCTCCGGTTAGCTGTAGATAACACTTTTGTTTCCTCTAGTTTTAACGAGCTTAAACCTTTATTTTATTTACAACTCAGCCTCTCTTTGGTACTGGAAATTCGGTAAATACTGGAGCACCTAGTTTCAGTGATATTGCAACTCTTTCAACAAGTGGTTATAGTTCCAGACCTGGTTCCTCTCAACGTAATGGTGAACTTGTTAATCCGATGCCCAATGCGTTTCCTGGAAGAACATATCCCACTGTATTAGATTCTAGTCTGGAAAATGGTCCATCATACTTCAGTGCATTAAATTACAATGGTAACCAAACAGGCCCCCCAAGAAATTTTTCCGAACCCACCCTTTTCTCTTCTTTATCCTCTGTCACCCGAACATCTGGAAATGAATTAACGAACAGCCGAGTTGGACCTGGAAATATCACTCCGTCAGTTCCTATGAACACAGCTATGGCGATGGCTCCTAATCGTAACCCTGGAGGTCTTTATTCGAATTCAATTGGCAGTGAAAATATTTCCTCTAATTCCACAAACCTTTCTTTATCCTCATCTCGTGGTGTTACTTTAGATCCTTCAGAATTCCCCCCAATTTTAACCTCTACTGGGCGGAGCGGCAATTCTTCAACACCTTTCCACTCGTCGGCTAACCAGCCTTCATTGCGGAATTATGTTTCCATTATGTCAAAGGGGTCATCAACCATAGACCAAAGCTTGAGTCAAATGAATCAACAATTCAGTCATTCCTCAAATAGTCAGGCAGCTCCTTTAGAATTTTCTAAACAGGATTTTCCCGCTTTACCTGGTTCACATCAGCCTACTACTAGTACGACAACAACAGTATCGACGACGAGTGCCTTAACTGTCAATTCAACATCTACTGCTCATCGTTCTTTGTCATCTAGTTCTGTAACTCAAACTCCTGCCTCTACAAATTCTCGACGGTTGTTTGGTCACACTAATCAAATTATGGGATCATCATCAGTCCCAAATCAATCAGGATATTCAAATGTTCCGCCTAAGTCTATCGGTCCTTCAAATGGCATACAGTTACTTCCTAATCACTTAGTTACAAACATTCCTAAAAATATGATTTGTGATCAATTCGGAATGTTGGGGCTGTTAAAACTCATTCGGGTGGGTGATTATGATGCAACACTTAACATGCTGGCCCCTGGATTAGATTTATCCTCATTACATAGTAATTGGCAGACATCTGGGTAAGTGTGAACATTAGTGTACATATCAACTATTACGCCGTGTATGGCTTTCATGTTTCAAAAGCTAATTTCTTTCAATATATTTTTCCAGTGCATTTTGTTAAGCAAACTTAGTTCGAGTATTGTGAAGCACTCTCTCCGAGGCAGACTAACCGGGTCTGTTAAATTTGATACTGAGAACTCAACAAAATTTCATGCTAAATAATACTCATTACACAAAATGGGATTGTCCCTATTCAGCAGTCTAATAAATAGCAAGTGTGACGTTCGAGTGCTGTGAATAGTACTCACTTGAACACATGCACATTCAGCAGGATGATACTGCAAACGAAACTTGTGTCCTAGATTTAATCGCCATCTGTCGTTAAGTTGTCTGTTCGACTTGCCCTCTCTATATTTTTTACAGTTTGAAAAATTTAGCTTTGCTTCACATCTATGTAGTTGATGCTAATTTTTTAAATGCTGCAAGTTGATATCAGTTAGATTAGATGGCTATTGGAAACCAGGTAACAGATGACTTTCTTCTAATTTGAAACTTTTCATCAGCACATAACTATGCACTCTTCTTGCATGGAAAACAACTCTTAGACCTCCTAGGGTCACGAGCTCTAAATAATTGAGTTTTATGTGAATGATTAGGTTATTAAAACTCGGTTTTTAAGAATGTGCTACCATTATATGTCTTCATTATCCAAATATTCACCTGAGGCAGATAAACGATTTAGGCTTCTATGGAACCATAAGTTATTTGTTATTCTTGCGCAAGTGTTCTGCGTATATTTGTGTAAGATAAGCTCATGGAAATACCAAAAAAGAGTCCAAGTTTGCAAGAGCGTTGGAACACTAGTAATCATTGAAGGAAAATAATGTATACCGTCACATGCTTTCTGTATGAGCATAGCTTTTAACAAGTTTATTTCAGTGCATCCTGCTTCTGTTCGTTCTCATGACCGTCTTTTCTTTTTCGTCCATTTGTTTTTTGAGCATCCAAAGCAGACTCTATCCGAGCTTCTCAACTTTAAGCATAGGACCTACTTGGGTAATTTTCATAATCTTGCACACTTGGTGCTGTCGAAACTTACTGAACAAACTTGGCAATGAGCCACATCTATTGTATAGGCTGTTCATACCTAGGTAGGTGGGGTGGGGTCCGAACCCGTTAGCTATTGGTTAGAAGTCAGTTGCCTAAACCAATAAGCCACCAGCTCCACTTGTGAGATTCCTCAATCCCGTTCACAGGTCGGCCTCGCATTGCACTACTTGTTGCTGTAGATTGATCTCTATTTTGATCTCGATAGGATAAGTAGTTTGTGATTAAACTGTGACCTACGTGATAATCACATCCAAGAAAAACGCCAAATTTTGTTTTAGGCGAAGCCACTGGTTGTCTAATTATTATGGAACTCCATCCAAAAAATATTCATTTTACCCTTTAACTTTGACTGACTGACAAAGTCAAAGTAGAATCACGCACTGGAGTACACAAAGAACAGGTAGATGGGAAAGGAGTGATATCAGAGTAGATGAAGTAGTGTTAAAGAATAAAAATCTGAAGATAAAGGTTAGTGCGAATATTCAAACTTCAGAAGATATCAAAGAGTGAATAAATCTGCGCCACTGTGACCGGTTCTCAGCCAAGTCACCAAGAGATAGTCCTCAACCACTGATTCTTTTCGTCTCGGGAACCCCAACCAAGCAATATGCATCTCCCCACACGGCTCAGACCAACAGTCAGAGATTTCATCGACGTCTTGGTCTGGCCACCCTGATCCCTCTTCCAACCTAATCCAACTTCCCCTAGCGTGACACGTCAAAGTAGCTGGTGGTTCGGCAGGCTCAGTACATTTCTAAGCCATCTCTATCGACTACGGTTCACAACCTCGTCAATCGACTTGCCTGTCTTGCCTAGTGTTTTTCGCCCGACCTCAACATTGCTCACATAGTAATTCCGCTGTACAGAAGTAATGCTAAGAAGGCACCCATGATCAAACACTTGCAACCGTTTCATGTTGTCTACTTTTAACGGTCGTGTCTCAGTTGTACAACAGGACAGGATGGAGTGAAGTGCAGTATACTCGTCCTTTGATAAACAGCTACACATCTCGCTGACATCACAGGTGACGCAAGTTGGCAAATGCCAAACGGGCCTTCTGTATCTGAGCTGAAATTTCGTCAGCAACCAACTCGTTTGGGCTGATGCAACTCCTCGATTAAGTGAAGTGGTCAGCACATTCCACCACTGCGCTCCCTACCACTAAGTTGGGAGTACTTGCAGCAGACTAGTCCTGGAGCATAGTCTTACATTTGACAGGTGCGAAACTCATGCCAAACATACTCAGATTTCCGTTCAACGCGTTCAGAAGACCCTGGATTTGTCAGCGTCTTCACCTAGCAGGACAAATCGTCTACATGGTCTAAGTCAAATAGATGACCTCCAGGGAATTTAACTTAGTCCCTGGTGACTAGCCTCACAGATTGATTGATCTTGTTTTGATGCTATCTTCAACTAAGAAGTATGTACATGAATACTGTAAAGCCTAATTCTAAAACATAAATGTGGCTATTTTAACTGTAAAAGGTGTTTGTAGCAAGCCAGCTGTATACAATTCCACTTTGACCACGATTACCCTTATAGTCGTCTGAATTTTCTTCCTCTTTCTGGTGGAGAGAACACCTGTTCTTCCTGAAGCATTAACCTGGATATCGATCACTTTGAAAGTCATTTTACACTCTGCTTGAAAATGAAAACTATACGAGTGTATTCAAGAAGAAACTGACCAAGCATTTGGTGAGATACTACTAAGTTAATCATCCTTAGGAATACCTGCCACTAATTACACTTTGGGAAAAAGCTGGTAAAAGCTTCAGGGTACCTTCATCAGAAAGTTATAAAGGTCATGGGATCTGCACAGCGTTATCCTAATTAGTGTTTAGATGAGGATACGCCTACTGAATCATCGTAAGCTAGATCGAGGGGATGGGGTAATAGATCAACGATAAGTAACAGCAGACTTTTATTGAAACACTGAAGAGGTTGGATCAAAAAAGACAATAGATATTGAGACTGCTGCTGAGACAAATGATTCAGTGGTATTTCTGGTTGCCCCATAAGTTCACCATCATCAACAATATCAACATAGGCATTACTGCGTAACGGTCCGGGTTACCACAGCTCATATCAGTACATCAAGTAAAAAGGCAGTCAAGTGGAAGATAAAGAAAAGAAAATTCGGTCAAAAGAAATACTAAGTACGAAAAGAGAGAAAGAAAGAATGAGAAAATGGTGAGATTCGGTATAGCGTTAAGATAAGGATAATGTGTGCATACATCTGCTCCACTGACATCAGTTCTGAGCCATATCACCTAGAGTCTCCAACCAACTGGTTCCTCTTGTCCCGCGGACCCCAACCACCTAGTCTCCACTGCCCTACATGACTTAAACAACAGCCAGACTTCATTCGTTGATGCCATGTCGTAGTCTGGCCGCTTCGAGCCTTTTTCAAGCCTGAACCTACTTCTCACAACATTGTGTGAGGCAGACGGTGACTAGGCATACGTAACAAAGTGTCCAAACCATCTCAATCGATGAAGGTTCAAAACCACTCGATGAGCATAGCTCCCTGGACATCTCACTATCGACTCTAACACGCCCATTAGTGTTCGAGTAGGGAGCCTTCAATAAGGTGATGTACTTACTCGGCACGCCTTTCAGTGAGAGAAATTGCCATAAGACTTCTTGATCAACGGAGTCAAATGCCGCCTTCAGGTCGAGAAATACAGGTATTGTCGGGTGTCGGTAAGCGTGCCTATATTCCAGGACCTGCCGCACTGTAAATATTTGGTTGATACACCCTAGGCCGGGTCTAAAGCCTGCCTAGTTTTCTTGGGCTTACTATCCAGCTGCTATCTGAATGAGACATTGACAGTGTATCTCTAACACGCCAAAATTGAGGGTACTGAAGGTAGTCTAAAGTAAGGAAGAACAGTAAGTTTTGTTGAGTTACCGCTAGAAATATTTGATGGTGTTAGTTCAAGATTTCTAGATAAACTATTTCGGGTTCTAAGTAGCGAGTCGGAATCTCTTTCTGTTATCATTTCAACGTACGAGAATGAAAAGATACTTTTGTGATAATTACAGAGAAATTATCTTTATTACTGCAGTTTGCAAAACAGTAGGGTCCGTAATTATATGATGTTTATCTGCAGGTCAGGGGCAGTAAATTTGATAGGAAAAGGTGGGTGTTTGATATGATATTGTTTCTCGTACCGTACATACCAAACTCTAAAACATACTTATCGGCATCCGACAGTAGTCATGTTTCGTAACTCAAAAGCATGGTTTGACATCATCCACTGAGTAGTTTCGTGATCATGTCCCGCATTGGAAAGTGTCTCAACGGCACATCGTCTCACTCAAAGCTCCATATTCGAGGACTCGTATTTTTTAGAGCCTTCAGTGTACTATCTGATGTAATATTTACGCCTAACAGGTATTCTTCATGATTATCCACTCACTACATTTTATTTAACTTACTATAGAAGTGTGTATGAAGACCGCACTTTCCTCTGAATTAATAAGAAGTAATCTCCACACAGATTTCTTTATTAGCTTAGAGGGAGCGGCTTGCACTGTCCTGTTTTAAGGAGACACTGACAAAGTACAGAGTCCAAGTGACAGTTTAAATGATGGTTTTAGAATGTGTGTGATGCATTTCTCATCTCAACGCAAATTTTTTATTCCCAAGTGGTCCCCTAAATATGTCATCTGGGGGAGCGAAGTGGCTGGGCGCGTTAACCGATTTACATGCAAAATTGAACCAGCGTTGGTTAGTCGGTCAGTGGCCCATAAAATCTCCACACGGACACAAAGATTCGATTTGCTTTTGCCAACTTTTGCAAATTGTGACTGCCGGGAAATCTTAATGCCTACTAAAGGTTGGATACACTGCCACAGCAGTTTTCTTTGCTGTAATTTGTGGATATAAAATATACTCACAAAACCTGGTGAACATGACAGGACTTAAGGTATTTGACTACCATTTCCTTTGTAGCACCGTGTATGCATGAAGGAATTATCATAAGAGTAGTGTTATGCTTTGGTGTACAGTATTATGTAAGAGATGGATGTTAACTGATAAAATTATGAATTAACATCGATTGAAGTGATTAAGATTATGTACTAACTAACTCCTTACCCCTGCTCTATTATATTGGCTTAAATACGGTGAGGCGAAAACGGAAAGTGCTAAATTGGTATTTCATCAGTCAATGAAATTCATCTGTCGTTTTGAATGTTGTAGAAAAATTCGATCTTTCAGGATGAGGTTTGAGCAATAGCCGAAACTGATGATAAGAGACTAACTGATGTGACTCAGGTGCATTCATATTTCTTAATCCTAATCGTCGTGTCACATTGTCCTACTAGCTTTTAACCCTCTCCTTTTCGAACTTTGACTTTTTGCATCTTTGGTGGGATTATTCCTATTTCTTTGAATTCTTTCTTACGGGAGTGTTTCTTATGCTGATGTAAGTTGTGGCAGTCGTGATTGTTACTCAGTAATGTTCCATCTTTATGCTGACTGACTAAATCAAAGGTAGTCTTGTTGATGAAATTAGTTGGTATGTTTGGTAAGTCCAAATGAGAAGAACAAACTCTGACCAGTGGTTCATTTCACATATTATCTTAAGGATGATCACTCCCTGGACTCGGACACAGTCGATCTCTGGTAAACTGAAGAATAGGGTTATTTTGTTGTTTCATATGTGTACATGTTCATGTGAAATGGGAGAACGCGGTATGCCCTGAGTGGCTACTTCTAATTATTTTCAAGATAGTGACCTATAACTAATCAACTAACAAGTCTAGTGGATTAATCTTAATCAGACTTAACATTTTCTGTGATTCGACAGGTTTTGGCCATTTCTCAAACCCCAGTATGGCACCCACCTCTCCCTATATGGTTCTGAGATGTTAAAGTTTTGACTGATGCTTTTTTTGGTACCATTTAACAAAGGATGCAGACACGACTTCGACATGTAGTTTGGAGCGTGGTCTCTATAAACTAGGTGTGGTCACGTTTTTTTTTATCGCTGAAGCAAAGAGTTGAAATAGCTGTACTTTTAGAGATCCAACTGAAGGTTGATTATTAATCTCCTGTGTTAGTTAAACTGTCACCCAATTCGATTCTTTCTGCAGTTCTGTACGTCACTATTAACTTGCAAGCCGAATAGAGAAATGCCGTCATACGTTCAGTATAGGAATAAACTAATTTAGTTCACCACCTAATTTTTCACTACAATTGTAATTCTCATGCGACTTTTTATTTATCAGATATTTGAGATACTACTATTTCAATGTCAAACTCGACGGGGCTGTGACTGAAGCGTTCAACGACCATCAGTCAGCGAGTTGTCTTTCCCAACTCCTCATTTCTCGAGATTTATGCAACCGGGTAGTACCGATAGCTCTAATGCAATAGGCGCGCCTCACAGCCTAGTGTACAGGTCTGCATGTGATTGCTGGATTACGTTATAGTGTGAAACTATAATGTGCCCAACTCTTCATATTTGTACGTTGATCAATTTTGCTGCAACACTGCTGAGTGCTCTCGATTGTAAAATGCCGATTTCATAAACCAGCATATTATTTGCTAGTTATTTATCGAACCACTATTCAGTGCAAGGAGCCTTCCGAATCAAGTTGAAAACCTTCAAGAAAGTTGGTGACAGTTCAAGTTCAACACCTAGAGACTGAAGGACGAGATTACAAAAGAAATCTTCACGTCAGTCATCAAGACAAAATGGGAGATATAAAGCAACATCCCTGAAGAAACCTATGTGGATGTGCACTGGAACTCTTTGAAAGCTATGTAGAAAGAAACCTGCATTAGGAGGGAAGAAGAAAGGAGATAAGGAATGGATCTTTACGGACACAAGGAAGCTGATAGAAGAGAGGAAGATGGTGAAGCAGAAGGCAAACGGGTGCACTGAAGCGATGAACAACGAAAAGAGGAACAGTACAACACTGGACAAAGAAATGAAGGGGAGTGCGCGCAAAGACAAAAGACACTTCTACGACACACTGGCAAGTGAAGCAGAACAGGCCGCAGGTAGGAGAGACCTGACAACATTACATCAAATAACCAGGCTACTATCTGGGAGGAAAGAGATCAACACAGATGAAACCAATAAAAGATGATGAAGGAAATCTAATTACTGAAGAAGAGAAACAAAAGAAGCGGTGGGCTGACCACTCCGAAAAACTCTTGAATTAATCGACCACCACCTGCACTTCACCCAGAAATAGCACCTACAGCCACAGAACCATAAGTGAACACAAGCCCTTCGACGAAAGTCGAAGTCCTGAACGCCATAAAGCTACTGAAATGCGGGAAAACAGCAGGACCAGATGGAATCCCACCAGAAGCACTGAGAACAGACGCAGGGGCAACAGCGGATATGCTCAACCACACCACTATCGCAGAAGGTCTGGAAGGAAGGAAAGGTGCCTGCAGATTGACTGGAGGAAGGACTAATTTGTCAAACTCCCGAAGAAGGGCGACCTAAGTGTTTGCAAGAATTGGTGCGTAATCACGCCCCTGTCCACCTAGAGCAAGCGAAATATTAATCCGCATCATCCTGAAGAGACTAAAGGATGCTCTGGATTGAAAACTACAACCGGAACAGGCTGGATTCAGGAAGTATAAATCATGTTCAAACCAAATTGCAACGCCACACTGCGCATCATAGAACAGAGTGTAGAATGGCAGCCAGCCCTCTACCTCGGCTTCATCGGCTTTGAAGAGGCCTTTGACAGCGTCCACTGAGAAGTAATTTGGCAGGCAGCTGCTTCAACACTACGGCTTTAGTGTCCCAAATCTTTATCAACCTCATTCGACAGCAGCTATATGATGACGCCACATACCAAGTGATCCACAATGGAGAGCTCAGTGATACCTTTGAAGTGAAGATAGGAGTAAGACAAGGCTGTCGCCTACTACCCATCATTTTCCTGGCTGTGGTGGACTGGACTGGATCGTGCAGCAGACAGTGAGGAGCGAGAAGACGCTAGAAGATTTGGATTCCGCCGATGGCTTGTGTCCGATGTCACACAAACCTGAGGAGCTGTAGGCGAAAACAAGCAAGTTGACAGAGGAGGGGAGCCAGCGAAGACGGAACTTCAAGTGAATGTAGAGACGACAGAGGTGATGATGATACCAAACCAACACCACCAACAACAAGAAGCTGCAATCACCATCAACGGGAGGAACTTAAAGGAAGTAGCCTCTTCCACCTATCTGGGCGGCGTCGTTTCAACTACAGGCGGCACAGACGAGGACGTCAAAGCCAGCCAGGATCGGAAAGACAGAGAGACAGGCGTTCATTAACCTGAAACCAGTGTGGAGATCTTCTGCGCCCAGTATGTGGAGGAAGATCTGCATTTTCAGCACCAACACCAACATCAAGCCAGGTCAGTGCTTCTATATAGTTGGGAGGCTTGACGAGTTACGAAAGGGATTTCCAACAAACTACAGACATTCATCAACAGCTGCCTACGCTCGATACTAAAGATCAGATGGCCAGAAAGATCAAGCCACAAGGGACTGTGGTCTGCCAACGAACCAACCAAGAACCTATCGCCCAACAAATATGCAGAAGTAAGTGGAGATGGATTGGGCATGCACTGAGAAGACGATTTGGGGACATTACGCGCCAGGCCAGATGCTCAAGGTGAACCCAGATGGGAAATAACGAGTTGGGTATCTGAGCTGAGGGTGACATGGAGGAGATCATGTGAGGAAGAAATGAGAGCTTGTGTGCAGTCTTGGAGCCAAATTCAAAAGATTGCAGAGAACAGGGTGCACTGGAGACTTGCCACTGGAGCCCTATGTTCCAGTAGGAACCGAAGGGACAAATAATAATAATATTTATCAGTATTTTCTTGTTGAAACTACTAAATTCATCTTTCGTTTGTTTTGATTCTAAGGACGATTAATTGTGTCATTGTATTATTTACTAATCAGTACTTTCAAGATCTACATTTTTTTAATTTAATTTTTTTGACTGTAGTGAACTTCACTCCTCTCTCGTTTCACCTTGTCATGACTCCTGTTTCGGACGACCACAAGATATGGATTATCCTGTTCCTCCAGAATATTTAATACGACACTTAGTGACAGATCGTTTACCTGACCCACCAGTGAATCAATTATCAGAGGAGACACTGTTTTGGTTATTTTACAATTGTTGTCGAGAGGAAACACAACTAGTTGTAGCTAAAGAACTGTAAGCTTAGATAATTATTACCTTTAGATTTGGAATTTCGTATGTATCAATTGGCGAGAGATTTTAACAGTTTTATTAAAAGTCAGGCATCCTAAAGTTTTTCTTTTAATAAATGGTTGTTTTGATTTCCGTATGATTAAATTTCTGGCTTCTGTACTAATGAAAGTTTCTCACTCAAGATCAAAGGGTGGCTAATTGAATAAGAACCTAATAATACGGTTGACAGTAATTAGTGGAATATTCTGTTTGTACTATGTTTTGTATTTTTCGACAATACACTCATCAGCAAAGTATGTTTAGCTATTTGGATGGGGCTTATAATCCTTTGGATATTTGAGACATCTTTGTATTGAACCATAGTTAGTAGATCTGACTTCTGGACAAGGTAGATTCGAGTTGCAAAACAAGCACCTTTTTTTTCCAAGTTGCAGTTTTGCCTTGTTGGCAACTGTCAATGAATAAATAAACTAGGTAGGTTAGGATAATTTTAACTACTTTACCTGTTTAATAATTAGGTTTTAGCGCAATATGATTAACAACCAGTTTCCTAGTGTGAAATTTTAAATTTCACTGGTGACAAGTTATAACTTTACTGGGAGTTTCGGCAGTTTTTGGCGAGAACATTGTCGCTTTACAAGTTGATAGTAGATGATGATTTTAGGTGAAATGGAAATTTAGACCACAGTGGGATTCGAACCAGTGACCACCAGGTTTCTGGCTCGACACTTTACCAAATGAACTACAGTCCAGCTTAATAAAACTCGATAGTTGCTGGTTCTAATCCCACTGCGGTCCAAGTTTTCATTTCACCTTCAATCATCACTCAGTTTCAGTACAAGTCTGCTAAACCACGGCTATCTCAGATAGTCAAAATGAACACAAGTTATTGATGTTAATCTTAAAATGTGAAAAGCAGAAGAACCATAAACAAGTCCCAGTAATATACAGAGCCTACAGTGTTGATTACGGGCCTAGTAGTTCAGCAGACTGTTACCCACTACTTTACTCAAAGTTTGTTCCTTGTAGTAATAATGTTATTGTTGCCTCAATATTGCCTCAGAAGTGAATATATGTATATGAGTGTATGAACTGCCTACGGTGAAACATCACAAGAAAGTGAACTCGATTTATTCTTGTGAAGATAGGTTCTACTGGTTAAGGATTAACTGAATAGTTCGTGAATGAGTGAGGTAATGTCTTTCCGTGTAATTTCTTGACAAGAGTTCCGCTTAATTATAAGCCTTTGTTCATTGTATTCATATCTAGTCGAGTCTTTCCTCTGACCTTCTGATTAGCTCTTAACTCTTGGAACTGTTATATTCTAACGAAACTAGACTAATGTGCTGGGAGAGAAGTTTATGATAACATTTCTAACTCAAAAACCAACCACCAGCGAGGAGACGTGTAAGTGGGAATATCAGATATATTCAATGACATCTGTTACTTTTTAGATAAGGATAAAACAGCTTTCGAATACTTTGACCCTATCTATTAGTTAGAATATTGATTTTCTGAATGTCACATCAGCTAATAAACATAAAAGCTTTGCAAAACTTGGGAACTATGAGATGCTTGGCTATAGCCACATACAAGAGGCACAAGTCAAAATATAAAAGAAGCTAAAAAAGGGCGATTACAGCAAGTTTTTAGAGGCTTTCTAATTTGAGTGGAAATTTCATGTCAATTTGTTGATTGAATATTTCACCTAGTTTATTGTTCGTAGTCATATCGCTTTTGTGTCCGGAACATCTAGTATATAATGCCTTTTCACTGTTTGAAATACCTTGTAAACAAATTAACATGGAATTGTACACTACTACAGTGTACATTATTAATTATAAATACTTGTATTTTTGAGATGAATAGGGATTTTTAATTTAGAAGTGGTTTTCATCATGGACTGACATCAGTTGGGGAACCATTTGAAATCTGGGAGCACTGGACGACCGTTTCGTCCTAGTATGGGACTCCTCAGCCGTACGCACCCACGACCCGGCTAGGGATTGAACTCCGGACCTTCACGCGTTAACCATTCAGCCACTGGGTCGGTTTCCAGTGGTTCACAATTTCCAACTTCTGTCAATTCACGACATAGCGCGACTGTCACCCAAGGTCTTCAGTTAGCATCCACTTCACTTCCGACTGGTTGACCCCACAGGTCAAGGCTTCTCATTAGAACTTCCTGATATCCATCTGGAAGCAAGTCACTAATGAGCACTATAGAGTTATGTATTTTTGAGATGAATGGGGATTTTTAATTTAGAAGTAGTACTCATCATGCTCACTAGTGACTTGCTTCCAGATAGATATCAGGAAGTTCTAATGAGAAGCCTTGACCTGTGGGGTCAGCCAGTCGGAAGTGAGGTGGATTCTAACTGAAGACCTTGGGTGACAGTCGCGCTATGTCGTGAATCGACAGAAGTTGGAAATAAATACTTGTATTGCGTCCAAATCAATTAGGTATTTCATTGGGTTCACTAATAGATCTGTTGTTAGATTTTTTCATTAGTTCATTCTTTTGAATCGTTATATGGTTAATTTGTAAGGTGCCTATGAATCATCTCTAAATGTGACTGACTATGCGTTAGTGTTCATGTTGTAATAGAATTAGTGTTCATCCTGGAATTCGTAAGTTTAGGCTATTAGGTCATGGGTTCTAGCCTTTCTCCACCTACCGAGATTTGAGCAGCCATGTAGTATCACTAGATCTCACACAATAGGTTGTGGTTTATTGCCTGCTTCATGGATGTGCACAAGGCAGCTAAGGGCGTTTCGTTGAGAACTATATTCTTCACTTTGATTTTTATGCAGGTAGTTTGCACTTTAATATTATATTATCGTACGTTTCAGAGATTTTCTAATATTGTGCGAATTCTCATCAAATGTGTCGTATAAGCTATTGAATTTCAGTTATTGTTTTGTAACTTGTTTACCTGCCTTACCGTCTTCAGTTTACATAGCCAGGCAGCCATAATAGTCCTTAAGCACTAAACTTATTTCATAGGTCTCTAAACCAAACTAATTTCGGTTAGTGATGAAATGTAACTTGATTTTTAATGCATAGCCTAAACTTTTTATCACCCCCACATTTTTTTTCTTAAGCTATCAACGAGAATGGCGGTTCCATAAAAAGGAGCAAATATGGCTTACTCGTATTGTAGGAGCGAATTTTACATCAGATAACAATTCTGAGCAAGGGGATTATTATTTTTGGGATCCCCTCAAAGCACAAAAGTCAACGCACCAAATGACCATCCTGTATTCTGATCTTGACAATGCACCGGCAGCATTTCGTCTTAGTTCGAGCACATTAGGTGCCATTGTCAGTATTGGTCTACCCGGTGGTTCTCATGGTAACGTTCCACCACCTCCACCATTACCAGCTCAACAACAGCAACAACAGTTAGTTGCATACCAACACCAGTCACGTCAAACACAACAAAATCAACACACATTTCCGCATACTCATCATCAAACACTAATGAATAACAATAATAGTAGCACATCTGGGCAGATACTTCCGTATACTGCCAGTTCACTTACTACTGGATCATCGATCAACTCAAACGCAGCGACACTAGCTAGTCTATTTAATACTCGACAACAGCAACCACTAAAACAACAACTGAACTCGAGTGCTAACTATTTTCCATCCTCTCATAATCGAACAACTGGTCCTTTGAGCTCTTTGTTCACAAATCGATCTGCCCCAGTATCAGTTCCTATGACGAACACAGTGATCGCTTCAGCGGAGACCACGTCAACTGCAAACTCAAACTTTAATCGCTTGCCTAGCGCATCCATGGTCAATGAAGGTGAAAACATCAATCAAGGAGTTTTTGATGGCTCACAAATGTAGATCTATTTTTCATATGGTTTGTGTGTGGACATGTAGCACAGGCGCAGGAGTTTGGTTTGTGTTTATGCGTGAATGCAATCTATTCTGTAACCGACGCAGCCAAGTTTTCATGAGGACTCCCAGTTTGTTTTATGTGAGACTGATTATCTTAATTCCTCCTTGGATTTTTTTCTGAGCGTTATTTTTAGGTTACTTTTTCCTTCCCAGAAGTGGGGGTGTATATCACACACTAAATACACATGCATATATTTTTACAGTTCATGCTTAATCGTCTAATTTTGTAATGTTCTGATTTTCTGTTGCTTATTCACGTGTTGTTTTCTCTTATGTGTTATATATATATATATATATATATATATATATATATATATATATATATATATATATATATATATATATATTCATTTGTTACATAATACTACACCCAGGATATCCTACTTACCTTTATTATCTTGATTAACGCCCTGCCTTCTTTTTCTTCCATTGTACTTGGCCTCTCTCTCTCTGTTTGTCTTTCTTGTGTATGTACAAAGACCTGTCTATGAGAGAAAAGAATAATGTTAGTTGGTCAAATAAGTTATAATTATTATTAGTATAAATATTGTGCTGTATATTCCTTTCTCTTCTTTTAGTGTCTTTCCTTTAGGGTTATAGTATACTTCTACTGTATGTGTGAACGCATATCTTAATCAGGTAGAAGTGAATTTTTATCAGAATGTAAATTCTGTTGTAGTATGATGCGCATATGTATGCAATTGTGTCGCATAATTTTCCTTTTTATCTGATCGTCAGTTAATTGTGTATAGTTTGCTTGTCTAGTCTATAAATGGCAATAATCCGCATTGTTACTGTTTGCGAGTTGTGTTTGAGTATTGTTTAAGAAAAATTAAAAAAGGTACCTAATCAGCTTTCAATGATCCCTAAGCATACCTAAATAACCCCATACACCACTTGTTAGGACGTATGCGTTAATTTCAAATCATTATATATCATACGTGAGAACTATATTTACGTGTTGAGTAATGGAATATACTACCGAATTTCATTCTTCCCCTGTTGAAATTCTTCAGCAGGGCATATATTTACCGAGACTGTACGCTTTTTATCCAGTCTTCCTATCAGACTGCTTAATATTCGCATTAAGCTCCGTTACCTAGTGTAGTAGGTCGAGCTGATGGGTACCACTTAACTAGCGGCGTGAGTCCGAACTTTTCACCGTCTAATTTTTAGACGGTATTATGGTAATAATAGACGTGATGGATAATTTGATTGACAAGTTTCTATCTCAAAATAGAATCAGACGAGCATATGCACAGACTGTCGAACTTCAATCAGTTAGTCAAATTGGTTGGAGCACCTGTTGACTGGTTACTATATCCTTGGTCACTAGGTATGAGCACTTCCGACCAACAGTGTCGTGAACACGAATCCGCCTGCTTGAGTAAAAGTACTTATACCATACACTATTAGTTTTATCTGTTTGATTTATAACAGTGATACAGTAATACTTGGTGAGTCTAAACGGTTTAGTTTAATGCCTAGAACTAATAGTCCCAGCAGAATTTGTGGCACTGTTAAGGTTCATAAATCAGGTTATCCCATTAGACCCATAGTTGGCTTCTAAAATACCCCAACGTATGAACTAGCAAAGTACTCAGGATCGGTATTACGTCCTACTAGAAACTATTCAAATTCCAGATTAGAGAACTCTAATTCAGCAAAATAATCTAGTCTATCAAATTCCATGTAATGATTGTGAGGTCAAGTACTCAGGTGAAAGTAGTCGGTCGGGATCAGTTAGAATAGCGGAACGTAGGAATTAGACTAAATATAGAGTGACAGACCCAAATAAGATCAATAATCTAGGTAAAAAGACTCTTGCAACAAATGCATCAACACAATTGGATGGGAGCTGGATAAAAACGCTGTACTTAAGTCCACTATAATTAGGTGGAGAGAGAGGTTGATTACTGAATCTTTGTTCATCGAATCAATACCCAGCCAACACAGCAGAAATAATGCAACACCCATACCAGAGGTATGGGAAAATTTTACTACCAATAAAAACGAAGAATACGAGGTGACAGGTGTATAAAAATGAGATGTTGAAAGTATTGTGATTACATTGGAATGATTATGAAGAATAATTTATGCTCGAACGTCATCAAGTAAGTGATACTGTATCCCTGTGTGTTATACATCAAATAAACAAATTTAATATGGAATTACATCCTACCACACTGTTCAAGTTTTACATTTATGCTTTTACTATAGGGTGAATAATAATATATTCTTTGTTTCATCCCATTCATTTATCTTGAGAATGTATTGTTGGCCTTTGAGAAATATCTTCTTAGTCTATTCTCTATTATATTCACCTCATTGGTTGGTTTTATAGAAACCATAAAAGTAGGTGAGAACCTATCGTCACAATTTTGTTTGTTCCGTAAACACTAGTATCCTTGACCTAGTTTTCTTTTTCCATATAAATATATAAAGTTAATTGTCAAGATGAGTTTAAAAAAATCGTGTATTTGGATGATTTATGTCTAACGTCGCACAAACTCGAAGACCTACAGGCGGAAACCAACAAGTTGACAGAAGAGGTGAGGCAGAGAAGATAGGACTTCAAGCGAACGTAAAGAAGACAGAGGTGATGAAGATACCCAACTAACAACAGCATCAACAACAAGTTCCAATCACCATCACGAACGGGAGAAACCTAAAAGAAGTTATCTCTTTCACCTACACCTAGCTACATAGGCAGCATCGTTTCAACTACAGGCGGCACACGCACAGATGAGGATGTGAAAGCCAGCTAGCCAGGCAGGATCGGAAAGACAGCAAGACAGGCCTTCCTTCATCAATCTGAAATCGGTGTGGAGATCTACTGCACTGCACTCAGCATAAAGCGTGAACAAGATCTGGATTTGCAACGCTAAGTCAGTCAAATAAGTCAGTGCTTGCATGTGATGGTTGAGAGACTTGGCGTGTTACGGAAAGCACTTCCAACAAACTGCACACATACATCAACAGCCACCGCCTCCGCCCACTCGATACTGGAGATGAGATCAGAAGGCGAGAAAGAATAAGCAACAAGGGATTGTGGACTGTGAAGGAACCAACCAAGAACCCATCACGCAAGAAATCTGCAGTAGAAGAAAGTGGAGATGGATTGGATTAGATTGGATTGTATGTAGACTGAGAAGAGGGTTTGGGGACATGACACGCCAGGCCAGTCTGTCGAGTGGAATTTGAAGGGGGGGGGAAACGAGGAGTTTGGTGTCGTAGGTGAGGGTGACATGGGAGAGATGGTGTGAGGAAGAGATGGAAGCTTGTGAGTGGTGGTGGAGCGATATTGAAAAGACTGCCTAGAGGAGAGTGAAATGTCGATATGCTAGTGAAGCCCTATTTTCTACTAGGAACCCAAGGGACAAATAATTGTAAACCATAGAGTTGAAAGGTGTATATATATATATATATATATATATATATATATATATATATATATATATATATATATATATATATATATATATGTATATATAGATATACAGAGTTTAAGAAAAATAATTGTTAAGGAAGTCATGCTCTTATAAACCCGTGCGTTCTACTATTTAATGGGACATCAGTTCCGTTGAGGTTGCAGATGCACTTTACTGACAATTCCGTACAGAATAATAAATTCATTCACCTGAAAGAAGGGTGGTTGATATACTGAGACGATTAGTCAGATGGAGTCATTAACTGGACTAGTTTCTAACTTCCTTTTTAAATCACACAAAATTATGCAAGAAATGAATTTACCATGATACTTAAGCTTGAGTTAATGGAATCATTTTGAAGGATACCTAAGGACATATGAAGGAGAATATATAAAGTGAGGATAACACAGAGAGTAAAAGAAACAGGATGATCCCACTTATGGGCTTGGAAATGGCGGGAAGTGTTCTAAAACACTATGAGATTTACCTATAGAAAACGGGTTCCCATTGCGTTATTCTAGTTCATAAAGGCGACTAAATGTATGAAATAAGGGTAAAAAGGTTTATTCATATAGAAATGTAGATACTGAAGACGATACACTCTACAGTCAACAAATAAGTCGACAGGACCGATAAAAAACCTCAGGTGAACGGGAATAAAGTTCAAGTGACTCGACTTGTAGGAATGCAAAATGTGAAAGAGTCACAATGTTGAATAATACAACAGAACCAATCAAACGCAGTCGTGATACAGAAAAAAGCTGGGAAAATATCTCGTAGACGTGTGTCACTAATTTTAGTATAGGTCCTCCCACTAACTGAAATCACCTGTGAAATTAAAGAGATAGACAATATCAACGTGAGCCCTGGCACCACTGCGTACCAATCCGAGTTGCCACACCATATATCAAAGTATTAGGTAATATAAGGGAGAAGATAAAGTAACATAATCAAGGATTGAGAAAACTCGTAAAACAGAAAAAAAACTTTAAGAACAACGAAATATGAGAACCGGGGAGTATTTAACGGTTATTTCTTTCTACTTTGAAGCTCCTCAGTGATGTTCTCCTGACGTAATGCTCAGAATAACAACTAGGACTATTAGGTCTCATGATAAACATGTTATCTTTCAGTTACTCGGCTGTGATTCGATGGTTCAGATTCTCAAAGTTCAGTCAATTTAGGATATAGCATGTCACTAGTGGGCATCTGTTCACGTAATCGACTTGGTTATTACATCATGAAAACACTTCATATCAATTAAATCCTCTCACAAACTAGTCAATTGACTGAAATATGAACAGACAAATTAAAAGGATAGTTTAATGTTTTCCCAACACATTTCAAGTGAAATTTTTGAAAAACACCAAAACAAATGAGAATGAGAAATAAACCTTTACATTTATAGGTATCAATGCACAATTCAACTCATGTTTGATCAGTGTTCAGATATTCACAACTATCAGTTGTGTTACTATTTATTGACAATCATGTAATTCTTCGCTGTTTTATTAG